CCTTTGTCTTCCATCCAATTCTTTCTCTTTTCCTCTCCCCCTGCTCTGTCCCGTTCACTCTCTCCCAACCCCCTGTGCTCCCTGTCCCTCTGTGCGCCCCCCACCGCCCCATCCGTCCGTCCGTCTGCTCTCTCTCGCTCTCCCACTTCTCCGCCCCCCTTCTCTCTTTCACTCCCAGATTTTAATGATGTGATTCCAGAGACCCAGAGGCTGGACAGCAGTTTGCAGAAGGCCCGAGCCCAGCTGTCGGCCAAGGGCAGGCGGCACCGCCCGTCCCGGTCCCGCTTGAGAGACAGCGTCAGCTCAGCGGAAGGGGATGAGAGCCTGGAGAGGAAGGTGAGACCGGGCCCGGGCGGGGGGCCGGCTGCGTCGTTCCACGCGAGGTGGGCCGGGGTGACTGGAGCTCCGGGTCAAAGGAGACCGTCCCCAAGGCCTGCACCCAGGATGGCTGCCCCCTCTCCTCTCTCTTGGGCCATAGGAGCTCAGGATTTGCCACGCTGGATCAGACCCTGGGTCCGTCAAATCCTCTATCCCGCCGGGTGCTGCATTGGCCCTCCCGGTGGGCTCTCCTGCCGCCTGCTCCCAGGCTCTGGCGCAGCACCCAATGGCCAGTGACTAATGCTTCAGCCGGGCGGCCCGTGAGCCTGGCAGGGCCCCGGACGGGACATTGCTACGGAGAACAAGACTCAGCAGAGTGACTGGGAGGGGCTATAAATCTTCCTGCTTCAGGGCAGGAGCTGAGCTCTAGCAGATGGGGGTCAGGAGGGAACAGTCCTTAAGGACGGGTTGTTCCAGAACTGCCTCCTGCAGGGTTTCCGCGCCAGGCTGCGGTTGCAGGCAGGTGACTGGGTTTGATCAACCAGTGGCCTTATCCAATGGGGGATGAGAGGGGATACTAGAGGAGCTGGACCAATGGTCTGATCCAGTGTGGCAGGCGGAGGGATACCAGCCATGGTCTGATCCAGTGTGGCAGGCGGAGGGATACCAGCCATGGTCTGATGCAATGGGGCAGGAGG